AAAGAAAGAAAGAAAGAAAGAAAGAAAGAAAGAAAGAAAGAAAGAAATGATTCTACTGTGTCTGTGTCCAGTGCTGTGGTCACGCTCAGAACCCTGCCATGCTAAGCACATGCTCTTGCTTGGCATCTGCCTGTAGTTATTACGGGAAGAAGGTGATGATTTATAAACAGGCTGGAATTAGGTTGGATTGAGCAACTTTAATCATTTCAGTAATTCTGAAGGCCATTAAGAGTATACAGCAGGTGACAACTAGTGCTCAACAGGTCGACCCACCAGACGAATAACTCTGATGGGGAGCCCCAGTTAGAAAAGACCGTGGAGTCACTGGATATAGATAACTGTTTGTCTCTGCCTGTAATTCTGTCTTGTGCTATCATGAGTTCTCCCTAAAAATAGCAGTTATGAGTATTTTCCCCACTGCGTGTGTGTTTATCTCGTGTATATGTTCCATCTACTGGACACACACAGCTGGGAATGGTCAGGAAGATGGTTTCTGTTTAATTGAATAATTCTGATGAATAGAAATAATACTAGGATATTTTCATTACTCAGTCTGACATAGCAAAGTAATAGCATCCTCAGTCACAGAGACAGCTAATTCTAGACTTCAGAACAAAGTCAAAGCAGGTTGCACCTGGAGATGAATACGCAAGGTCAATTTCCCAGGTATTCATTGCTGAATCAAGGTCAGGCTTGAAGCCACATTAGTAGACTTAACTTTCTCACCAGTGGACTTTCTGCACGCACTCCCAACCTCCAAGTTCAGACAACTGTTTATTGTCTAAGTCCTGAATCTCAGTGTCACTTTCTGTCTGGGAACCCGGACCACTTAGAGCTTCGTGCATGGTCAAGTGTTACTCACTGACCGGTCAGTGCAACCTCCCTTTCCTGAGAGAAACTGTGTGATCGGTTTGGCTCTGATTCTTATTGTTTACTTAGGAAGTGCTGCGTGACACTGAAAATGTGATTCATATCTGTCCAGAGGCTTTGCTGTAAAAAGGAGAAGTAGGAGAGATGTGTGCGTGTGCGTGAGTGTGTGTTGTGAAAGAGTGTATGTGTTTGTGCACTCTTAAGAGTGTGTGTGAGAATGTGTTGTCTCTGTGTGTGTGTGTGCATGCATGTGTGTGTGAGCGTGTGTGTGAGCGTGTGTGTGAGAGTATATTGTCTGTGTGTGTGTGTGAGTGTGTGTGAGAGAGTGTGTCTGTGTGGTCTCTGTGTGTGTGTGTGTGTGGTGTGTGAGACAGTGTGTGCATGTATGTGTGTGAGAGAGTGTGTGTGCAAGAGTGTGTGTATGGTCTCTGTGGGTGGTCTCTCTCTGTGTGTGTGGTCTCTGTGTGTGGTCTCTGTGTGTGTTCTCTGTGTGTGTGTGTGAGAGAGAGAGACAGAGACAGAGACAGAGAGAGAAAGGGAGAGAGACAGAGAGAGAGAGAAGAAGAAGAAGAGGAGGAGATGAACCTTAATGTACAGAGGGAGAAGCAGGAGAGACAGAGCAGTGCTGTGTGGCTGTGTGTAAAGAGCTGTAACTGTGTAGAGAGACCGTCAAGAAAGAGCTTATTTAAGATGAAGTATAAAGAAGGTTGCCATCAGGAAAGTGTGTGCTTGTTCCTTTCTTCTTAAGTTACCATCAGAAAGCATGCATTTCTTTATTTGCCCTCAGATAAAGAAGAATTTTCCTAAGACCCCATTGCTCTGAGAAGGCATTCTTTTCACTATCCTGGGTGCAGTCCTGAGAGCTGGACTCACGGGCTGCAACAAAGTAATTGTAATTTTATGTTAATTTTGATTGTGTCCTGTATATCATTCCTTATTCTGTACTTTTGTAAATATCATCTTTCAGAGTGGGTTCCACCTCAGCCAGAACACTTCTATCAACCTACAGGAGACGAAAAGATGCCCGAGGTTGTGGGGGAAGAGCAAGGCACAGTTGTCTACCAGTTAGATTCAGGTATTGCCATTGCACTGAACGATGACTGATTGACTAGGATAAAATTGCAATAAGCTTAGTGTGCACATTGGAAGTGATTTTAATTTTTAAAAATGTATTTCTGGGGGGCTGGAGAGATGACTAAGCAGTTAAGAGCATTGCCTGCTCTTCCAAAGGTCCTGAGTTCAATTCCCGGCAACCACATGGTAGCTCACAACCAACTGTAATGAGGTCTGGTGCCCTCTTCTGGCCTGCAGGCGTATAAGCACAAAGACTACTGTATACATAATAAATAAATATTTTTTTAAAAAAAGGTAAAGTGGAGAGACACTGATGGAGACATCTCATGCCCACCTCTGACCTGCACACACGCACAGAAAACATATACACTCACAGAATACACCAAAAACACACAAAAAAAGTGAAATTAACAATTAAGTGAAAGGGAGCTGGGCGTGGTGGTGCACATCTTTAGTCCTAGCACTTAGACGGCAGAGGCAGGCTGATCTCTGTGAGTTCAAGGCCAGCCTGGTCTACATAGTGAGTTCCAGAACAACCAGGGTTGTTACACAGGGAAACCCTGCCTCAAGAAAAAGAAAAAAAAAGGTGAAAGATTAAATTGGATACATAATTAAAAACCCATTCTTTTCTTCCTAAAGGAAATCAAGGTCAGAATAGAGGTTAGACATGGTAGTGCAGACCCAGTACTCAGGAGGCAGTGACAGGCAGAGCTCTGTGAGTTCAAGGCCAGCCTACTTTACATAGACCATCCCAGACCAGCTAGGGCTACATACATGCATACATACAGATATGATTGTATGATTAAATATGTATATATCCTTGAGGCCAGAGAGATAGCTCAGCGGTAAGAGCCCTTGCTGCTCTTCCAGAGGACCTGAGCTTGGTTACCGTCATCCACAACGGGTGGTTCACGACCTCCTGGAACTCCACTCCAGGAAACCGAACGCCCTCTCCTGGTCTCCATGGCTGCTTGCACTTATGTGACATGCACATACAAATGAATAAGAAGTAATCTAAACAAGTCAGGTTCCTTACAAACACTACTGTTTGGTTAATGCTCCAGGGTCAACATATTTGATAGCAGTATCTTGGCAATTGATGAGGTTAACATCTGAAATATATAATTAATATTATATATGAATATAATAAACATTATGAAAGTATAGTAAAATTGTTTATTATTGTGATCTTCATAAGAAAGGCAGGATTTTATGAAGTATATATATTAAAAATGTTTTAAATTACAAAGCCATTGACAAATAAGTGAGAAAATAAATTTTCATCATGTTAACAAAACAATGGAAGGAAGGATGAGGTGGGTTCCTGAGGACACAGTACTAGCAGCACTGTTCAGATCTAGGCCCCTTTTTAATAGGAACTGCAGAACTTGAGGATGCTGGGCTGGGACTAGATCTTGATGGCTTGCCCAGCTACCCCAGACCCTGGGGTCCATCACAGCTCACAGGAGACAGCACTGAGGGTGCAGACATTTAAGCATACCCTCCACTGTATGGAGGTCCAGGCTATTCTGAATACATGAGATCCTAACTCAAAAAGGCAGTAAAAGAAAATTGAAAGGGGGCTGGAGAGATGGCTCAAAGGATAAGAGCACTGATTATTCTTCCAGAGGTCCTGAGTTCAATTCCCAGCAACCACATGGTGGCTCACAACCATCTGTAATGAAATCTGGTACCCTCTTCTGGCCTGCAGGCATATGTGCAGAGAGAACACTATAAACAAAATAAATAAATAAATCTAAAAAAAAAAAAAGGAAAAGAAGATTGAAAGGTCGGGCCCGGTGTGGTGCATGCCTTCGATGCCAACAGGAGTAGAGCAGGCAGATCTCTGTGAGTTGAGGCCAGCCTGGTCTATACCAACTTTAAGGCCAGCCAGGGCTACACAGGGAGACTATGTCTCAAAAGAATTAAAAATTTTTGATGATGTAATACTCTTGCTGAATTTGATAATGTAATACTTTCACTGAATTTGTCAGCAAATTCAGGCAGATCTCTGTGAGTTTCAGATCAACCTGGTCTACAAAGCGAGTTCCAGGACAACCAGGGCTGCTGGCTGCACAGAGAAACCCTGTCTCGAAAACCAACCAACCAAACAAACAACAGCAAAAATTAAAACAAATAAATGAAAAAATTAGGAGTGATGTACTGTTGAAAATTAAGGGCCAAAAAAAAAAAATTAAGGGCTTCTGCTATAGATGACGTTTAATTGGTAGATCACTGGCCTGGCAGGGTGAGGCCCTGTATTGAACCACTACCGCTGTACGTAAACCTATAGAACATCAGTAAAATTAAGGGTGCTACTGAAAACAATAAATAATCCATTGACTATTTATGGGGTTGGTAGGGCTCAGTGAAGACTTCCTGAATGAATGAATTGTGAGTGAATGCAGCCTAATGGTGTCTTTCTCGTCTGCAGTGCCCACAGACGGTGCCTACTTCACCAGTTCCAGAATAGGAGGCAAACGAGGGATTATCAAGGAACTTGCTGTTACATTGCAAGGACCAGAAGATAATACCCTGTTGTTTGAATCAAGGTTTGAGAGTGGGAATCTGCAGAAAGCCGTCAGAGTGTAAGTGAGGAGGAGTCTGGAAGGTGCGGCTGCGTGGCTACAAGGGCTCTATAGGGTGCTCTCAGGAATTCAGAATGTTTGCCAAAGAGAGCTGGTAGAAGACTTACTAAGGGAACGAAGAAGAATGGAATAACTATGACTAATTTTCTCCCAGAATGAAACACTAGGTTATTTCTTCTGCTCACAGAAGAAGGAAGAGCTTACGTAAAAGTTCTATAAACGGACCTGCAAGAGGACGCAGTGGCAAAGTCATGCGCACCTCATGCCTGGCAACCTGAGTTCAATCCCTGGACTCCATGTACAGCTGGAAGGGGAGAACCAGTTCCACAAAGTTGGCCTGTGGCCTTCATACAGTTGCCATGGCATATACCTGCTTGTACACACACTAATAATGATATATAAAATTCTAACATTTTTATTAGTAAAAAAAATATTCAACATAAAAAGTGCTGCATATAAGGACTGTTTAGTATATGTCCAAATGCATATGGGTAATATACACAAATTACATGTATAAGTATAAATATGTGCCTCCTCCTATTTGCGGAAGCTGGGCACAGTGGCAAGTGCTTCTCTGTAGTTCCGCCTACTCAGGCTGTGGAAGGAGAAGGTTTGCTGAAGCATGGAAGTTCAGCTGGTTATCTAGGGGTTCCAGGTTGACCTGGTTGACCTAGTGAGTTTCAGGGCTATGTGGAGAGACCATGTCCCAGAACAAACAAAAACAACTGAACCTGGAGTCTGGAACAATGGCTCAACAGTTATAAGTACTTGTTGCTCTTGTAGAAAGCCACGGTTCAGTTTCCGGCACCCAGATGGTGGTTCACAAGCATCCATAGCTTCATTTCCAGGGCATCTGACCCCCCTTTTCTGATCTTCACAGCCACCAGGTACACACATGGTGTATGTACAAACATCCAGGCAAAACATTCATACATATAAATAAATCTAAAGAAAAATTTAAACTGAACCCAGTGCCTAACATATAAGAAGCATATGTCTACCACTAAGCTATATCCCTGACCACTTCTTCCTTCCTCCCTCTCTCTTTCATTTCCTTCCTTCCTCCCTCCCTCCCTCCCTCCCTCCCTCCCTCCCTCCCTCTCTCCCTCCTTCCTTTCTTACTTTGTTTCTTTCTTTTTCCCCCAAAACAGGGTTTCTTTGTGCCTCCCTTGCTGTCCTGAAACTCACTCTTGAGATCAGGCTGACTTCCAGTGTGTGGACTAAAGGCGCAGTCCCCACCTCCCAACTACTTCTTATTTCACTGTGCATTTTCTCAATTATTCATATGGTGGATCTTTTTTCCTTGCCTTGTACATTTCCTTTTGTGAATTCATTTTCCATCTTTATTTCTTAGATTTTTGTGACAGGATTTGTTATAGCTCTGAGACTGGCCTTAACTTACAATCCTCTTGCATCAGGCTACAAATGCTAGGATTCTAAGTGTACATGACTATGCCTAGTCCTTTAATAAAAACATTTCTCAGTTGAGCAGTGGTGGCACACGCCTTTAATCCCAGCACTCAGGAGGCCAAGGCAGGCAGATCTCTGTGAGTTCGAGGCCAGCCTGGTCTACAAGAGCTAGTTCCAGGACAGACTCCAAAGCTACACAGAGAAACCCTGTCCCAAAGAAACAAACAAACAAACAAATTCTCTTTTGAAGAAGAGGACATACCTGTGGCTGCACAAGCATGTGTGCGTGTGAGTGTTTGTGTAGTCAGAGGGCAGCTTGCAGGATTTCTTTGCCTCCTTCCACCTGAGTTCTGGGGATTGAATCAAGTCATCAGACTTCATGGCAAGTACCCTTACCCACTGAGCCATATTTGCCAGCCCAAGTTTCTTTCCTTTTTTTTTTTTTAAAAAGTGTGTTTAATTAACTGACAACAAAAAAAGCTGGTAAAGAAACGCAAGTGAATTTGGTCAAGTAAGAATTAGAACCGAGGAGCTCCATAATCATCTGGCATCCGTTCAGTGTTGTGCCTATGGTTAGAAATATACATGATAGGAACCCCAGGCAGGGATCTTCCAGATTCTTCGTTTGAGGTCCCAATTGACTGTAGCCACAATGTAACACTTGTGCTGGGTGACTCTGTACCAAGCCGTCATCAGCATAGGTTCCTTTGTGTGTGCACTGAAGTCGGTCAAATCGTGGATCCTTGGCAATTCTTAGTGCCACTCGGTACTTCTGGCCCAGTTTCTCAATTTCAGCCATCACACAGTTATACAAGGGATACACTTGGCGCACAGACAGTCCATCATGGCTCCACTAAGTCTAGTTTGGCTTTGATGGAAAAGTTGATGAAGTTGGTGTGAACAAGGAGAGATGTTGGGTGGCTTCTCTTTCCTTCAGCGCACTGGGATCTTTCTTCTCTTTCTTTTTAGGCTTTAATCCATCCTTTTCTTTAAGTCGCTCATCTCTGAGACTAAGCATTTGCTTCATGGTTGCATATTTTCTTGTTTTCTTTTGCTTCCCCATGTTCACGCCGCACTCCTGTTTCTTCCGGAATCACTTACTGTGCCCAGCCCCAGTTTCTTGCTCCCTTTAAGCAGAGTAAATATATTCAAAGATGTCTTCTCTTCAAATAGCTGATGGCCAGGAAAAGAGATAGCACTGAGGATCGATGGTTCTCACAATGCGATTTCATGGGTCAGATGGATAGCTAGCAAGCAGCCCAGAGGGCACTGTTCAATGTGTTTCAGAGAAACATAGCAGTGATTAGGAACTGCTAGTCGATGTTTGGAAAGATGTCAAAAAGTTAGCAGAACCTCCAAACATCCGATGCAGAAGTAAATCTGTCTGTTTGGTTTTTTTAAAAAAAAATGGAAGAATAATTTATTTTTTTCTTTTTTATATCAAGAATTTTTTAATACAATCTTTTCTCATTTTGCATGACTATCCCTGTTTCCACTCCTTTCCCTCCTCCTGCTTTCTCCACCTTCCCGCCACCCCATTTCCCCATCCACTCCTCAGAAAGGGTAAGACTTCCCCTGGGGAGTCAACAAAATCTGACACTTCAAGGCAATACCGAGGCTGAGCAAGGTGTCCCTCAAGAAAGATTGCTCCTAGATGCCAGTTCAAGCACTGCCAGTGGCCCCACAGACTGCTCAAGCCTCACAACTGCCCCCCACATTCAGTTGGCCTAGTTTGGTTCTATGCAGGTTTGCCTGCTGCCAGTCCAGAGTCAGTGAGCTCTCACTAGCTCAGGTCAGCTGTTTCTGTGAGTATCACCATCATGGTCTTGACCCCTTTGCTCAAACAAGATTTCCCTAACTTCAAAAAGCCTAGATAACCCAGGCTAGCCTCAAATTCTCTGTATAACCCAGGATGGCTTGCAAATTATGATCCTCCTACCTCAGCCTCCCAAGTGCCTGAATTGTAAGTATGTACAGCTCACAGTGAGACTGGAGACTCTTTCTCCTCAATCCACACAGTTTCTTATGTGACTCGGAGGAGTGGGTAAACCAGAAAGGACACAATTGCTGTGGAGGCAGTTGTGGTCAGTCCGTCTTCACAAGGAGAAAACAATACTTTCCTGGATTTGCTTTGAGGGGAAGGTGATGAGGTTGTAGAAAATTGTTTTCTTTTCATTGCAGAGGCATCTATGAGTACGAACTCACCTTGCGAACTGACCTCTACACAGACAAACACACCCAGTGGTTTTACTTTAGAGTTCAGAATACCAGAAAAGACGTCACCTACCGCTTCACTATTGTGAACTTGCTGAAGCCCAAGAGCCTGTATGCGGTAGGAATGAAACCTCTTCTGTACTCTCAGCTGGATGCCGCCACCTACAATGTTGGCTGGAGGAGAGAAGGACAGGAAATCAAGTACTACAAGAACAACTCAGATGATGGGCAGCAGCCCTTGTACTGTCTCACCTGGACCATTCAGTTCCCTCATGACCAGGACACTTGCTTCTTTGCACACTTTTATCCATATACTTACACTGACTTGCAATGCTATCTCTTGTCAATCGCAAACAACCCCATCCAGTCTCAGTTCTGCAAGCTCCGAGCTTTATGCAGGAGCCTAGCTGGGAACACTGTCTACTTGCTCACCATCACCAATCCATCCAGGACCCCTCAAGAGGCAGCTGCAAAGAAAGCTGTGGTGTTGAGTGCCAGAGTCCACCCTGGAGAAAGTAACGGCTCCTGGATCATGAGAGGATTTTTGGACTTCATCCTTAGCAACTCCCCAGATGCCCAGCTCCTCAGGGATATCTTTGTCTTCAAGGTGATTCCCATGTTAAATCCAGATGGAGTGATTGTGGGGAATTACCGGTGTTCATTGGCTGGAAGGGACTTGAACAGACATTATAAAACCGTTCTTAAGGATTCTTTCCCCTGCATTTGGTACACCAAGAATATGATCAAAAGGTGAGACCTCTTTGTTGATAATTCTGTGAATGCTGTGAGCCTCAATACCAGCTACTCCTATCTATGAGGAGGATGGTCTTGTCTCTTGTTTTAGGAGTCTGGTATGACTTTGGAGAGTCTTGGACTATGGGTACATTTTTAGACATTTAAATCACATCAGATCTTTAAAAGAACATGGGGGCATTCATCAGCGTATCTGAAGGAGATCCCCACATAGCAGGGGTTTCTTCTCAGGCCCCACATAGCTATCTTGGTATCTAGCTTTAGAAATGTAATCTAATGGTTTTTAGAAACACAGAGGGAACTGGGGAGGAGAGAAAGGCCTGCCAAAGCCACATGCTAGAGTGGGCTAGTCCCTTCAATATCAACCATTTCACTTGCCCCCACACCCTTCTGGAATTGAATTTAAGGCTTAACACATGTAAGACAAGCACTCTGTCATTGAGCTATGTTCTCAATTTCATCTTATCTTGTGAGACAGAATGTCTCACTGAACCAATGTTTGCACTGACTGGCTATCAAGCCCCTGGGATCTGTATACCTCTCCAACCATCTTCTCTATGTTGAGGTTTTAGGCACTCACCACAATGTTCAGCATTTATATGGGATCTGAACTCAGGTCCTCATGTTTGCATAGGAAGCACTTTACCCACCGAGCCCTCTTTCCAGTCCAGTTATTTCATGTCTGTGTTTAATGCAGGGCCTGATGTGGAATTCAGTATGTAGACCAGACTGGCCTCAAACCAGAGATTTGTCTCCCTCTGTTGGGATTAAAGACTTGTGCCACCATGCTGGGTTCAGTTCTCTCTGTCTCTCTGTCTCTCTGTCTGCCTCTCTCTCTCTCTCTTTCTCTTTCTTTCTTTTTTCCTTCCTTCTCTCCTACTTCCCTCCCTCCTCCTCCTTCTTCTTTCTTCTTCTTCCACTTCTTTCTCTTCTTCCTCTTCCTCCTCCTCTTTCTTTTTGAGACAGTTTCTCTGTGTAACCCTGATTGTCCTAAAACTCACTCTGTAGACCAGACTAGCCTTGAACTCAGAGATCTGCTGCCTCTGACTCCTGAGTACTGGAATTAAAGGTGTGCACCACCGTGTCCGGCCACTTGTTTCATTCTTAAGTCAAACAATTGGATGGAAAAGGTCAGGGAAATTTTGCTATTCATATAAAACTGTAATCATAATGAAGCTAGCAGTGTTTAAGTTGGAAGTAACAGATACGATGATCAGCACTTTACACACTGGCCCTGTGGGTTTACACATGGTCAATATCCTCTGTTGCTTGCAATAAGGAAATTGAGTTCCAAAACTTTGATATAACTTAAACAAAGTCTCAGAGTTCACAAGCAACAGGGTAACTGTTTGGACATAGGCTCCCTGACTCCAGGATCTGAGTCCCCTAATATATGTCACCAAATTTTGCTTCTAATGAAGATAAAGTAATAAGTTAGCTTGCACTTTTCAAGCCTGTGTGGAAGCAGCTTGAAGCTATCGGATAATAGCACCCATCTTAAAAGAGCTTCCATTCCACTGTAGGCGAACACATAGCAGATAAGATACTAATGGCAGTTTCTAATCACACCTGTGTGAACAGCTATGAGACGGGTTGGCCATCATGGGAGAACTGGTTTTACTATTGACTGATTCTGGGACCGTAGGTAGAGAGTGATTTCATCTCTTATGAGTTTGGATGTCTGCTGCATCCTTTGTCTGTTTCTCAATAGACTTATGGAAGAAAGAGAGGTTCTCTTGTATTGTGATTTCCATGGGCACAGTCGCAAGAACAATATCTTCCTGTACGGCTGTAACAGCAACAATCGGAAGCACTGGCTTCATGAGCGGGTCTTTCCTTTAATGCTAAGCAAGAATGCGCCAGATAAGGTAAGACGTTTCCGGCTGAGGAACAGAGCACACTCCTAGGAAAGTGTCTCATTTGGCTCATTGTGATTAATGTTATTGTCTTTAGTGAAGCCCGGAACCTAGGTGTCCATGTTAGCCACGTGGTTCTGAAGTACCTTATTCAGCGAGGCAGTCACATCTTGCTTCTTCTGTAGCTGGGTCATGACTGCAGACCAGGACTTTCTTCTTCCCAGAATTCTCCTGTTCTTATAGACCTGCTTCTAATTCTTGTTTAGTTGTCCCGCTTATACTTTCTGCCTGGCTACTGACCAATCAGCATTTATTTAAAATATAATTGACAGAATACAGACCATTATCCCACAGCAGTAAAAGAAACACTACTAAAGCTTAAATCACACATGAAGCCCCACAAACTAATAGTGGAAGACTTCAAAACTCCACTCTTGCCACTAGACAGGTTTGTCAGACAGAAAATTAATAGAGAAATTAGGGAACTAATAGATGTTATGACTCAAATGGACTTAACAGACATCTATAGAACATTCCACCCAAACATATAAGGATATACCTCATAAGAATACACTTCATAAGAATATTCCTCATGGAATCTTCTCAAAAACTGATCATATACTTGGTAACAAAGCAAACCTGAACAGATACAAAAGAAGTGGAATAACCCCATGTATCTTATCGGATCACCACAGCTTCAAAGTTAGAATTCAACAACAACACTAATTTCAGAAATCCCACAAAAAAATGGAAATTGGACAATGCTCAACTGAATCACCATTGGGACAAGGAAGAAGTAAAGAAAGAAATTAAAGGCTTCCTACAATTCAATGAAAGAGACTGCACAGCACACCCAAACTTATGAGACACAATGAAAGGAGTGCTAAGAGGAAAGTTCATATCACTAAATGCCTACGTAAAGAAGCTAGAAAAATCCCACACTATCGAGTTAACAGAACACTCTACAACAAAAAGAAGCAAACTTACCTAAGAGGAATAGATGGCAGAAAATAATCAGATTCAGGGCAGAAGTCAATGAAATAGAAACAAAGAAAACAATACAAAGAATCAATGAGACAAAGAGGTGATTCTTCAAGGAAATCAACAAGACTGACAAATGTTCATCTAAACTAACCAAAAGTCAGAGAGAGAATATCCAAATTAACTAAATCAGAGATGAAAAGGGGAACATAACAACAGACATGGAAGAAATCCAGGGAATCATCAGGTCATACTTCAAAACCTGTACTCCACAAAATTAGGAAATTTAAAGGAAATTGACAATTTTCTAGATAAGTACCACATGCCAAAATTAAATCAAGGCCAGATAAACAAGTTAAATAGACCTATAACCCATATGGAAATAGAAGCAGTCATCAAAAGTCTCCCAAACAAAAAAGAAGTCCAGGGCAAGATGGTTTCAGCACAGAATTCTACCACAATTTCAAAGCATTGCTAAAAGCCATACTCCTCAAATTGTTCCACACAATAGAAACAAAAGAAACATTGCCAAACTCTTAGGCTACAGTTACCCTGATACCCAAACCATACAAAGGCTCAACTAAGAAAAAGAATTGCAGAACAATCTCCCTCATGAACATAGATGCAAAAATATTCAGTAAAATACCAGCAAACTGAATCTAAGAACACATCAGAAACATGGTTCACCATGATCATGTAGGCTTCATCCCAGAGATGCAAGGATGGTCCAACATATGAAAATCCATCAATGTAATCCACCACACAAACAAACTGAAAGAAAAAACTACATGAACATCTCATTAGATGCTGAAAAAGCCTTTGACAAAATCTAACACCCCTTTATGATAATGGTCTTGGAGAGATCAGGGATACAAGGAATGTGTCTAAACATAATAAAAGTAATATACAGCAAGCCAACAACCAACATCAAACTAAATGGAGAGAAACTTAAAATGATTCCATTAAAAGAACAATACTAAAATCAGGAACAAGACAAAGCTGTCCACACTCTCCATATCTACTCAATATAGTATTCAAAGTTCTAGCTAGAGTAATAAGACAACGAAAGGAGATCAAGGAGCTACAAATCGGAAAGAAAGAAGTCAAACTTTCACTATTTACTGATGATGTGATAGTATATATAAGTGACCCCTAAAATTTGACTAGGGAACTCCTACAGCTGATAAACACCTTCAGTAACGTGGCAGGATACAAGATCAACTAAAAAAAAAAGTCAGTATCCCTCCTACATACAAATGATAAATGGGCTGAGAAAGAAATCAGAGAAACATCACCGTTCACAATAGCCACAAACAGCATAAAATATCTTGGGATGACTCTAACCAAACAAGTGAAAGACCTATATGACAAGAATGTTAAGTCTTTGAAAAAAAATTGAAGAGAATATCAGAAAATGGAAAGATCTCCCATGTTCATGGATAGGTAGAATAAACATAATAAAAATGGCAATCATACCAAAAGCAATCTACAGATTCATCGTAATAACCATCCAATTCCCAGCACAATTCTTCACAGACCTTGAAAGAGCAATGCTCAACTTCATATGGAAAAACAAACAAACAAACAAAAAACCCAGGATAGCCAAAATAATCCTGTATAATAAAAGAACTTCCAGAGGCATCACCATCCCTGACTGGTGTGGGAGAATTGTCTATATTCTGTCAATCATATTTTAAATAGACCCTGATTGGCCAGGCAGGAAGTATAGGCGGGAAAACCAGACAGGAAGTAGAGGTGCAGCATTAAAAACAGGAGTATTCTGGGAAGAAGGAAGCTCTTTGCAACTCCTGCACAGATCACCGAAGAAGCAAGATGTGACCTGCCCCGCTGAGAAAGGTACCAAGCCATGTGGCCAACATAGATAAAAATAATGGGTTGATAAAAGTTATAGGAGTTAGCAAGAAGCCTGAGCTAATGGGCCAATCAGTTTATATCTAATGCAGACTCTCTGTTTGATTTTCTTTTGGGCTTGCTGGTTGTGGGATATTGGGTGGGACAGAAACCCCAACAAGCAACCCCTAATGTTACACCTGACTTTAAGCTCTACTATAGAGCTATAGTAATGAAAACAGCTTGGTATTAGCAAATAATAGACAGATGACCCAATGGAATCAAATTGAAGACCCTGATATTAATCCACACATTTATGAACACCTGATTTTTTACAAAGAAGCTAAAATTATACAATGGGAAAAAAAGCATATTTACCACATGGTGCTGGCATAACTGGATATCAACATGCAGAAGAATGTAAATAGATCCAAATCTATCCCCATGCACAAAACTCAAGTCCAAATGTATCAAAGAACTCAACATAAATCCAGTCACACTGAACCTCATAGAAGAGAAAGTGGAAAGTAACATTGAACGCATGGGCAGAGGAGACCACTTCCTGAACATAGCACCGACACTGAGGGAAACAATTAATAAATGAGACCTCCTGAAAGTTCCTGAGAAGTTTCTGTAAGGCAAAGAACACAGACAACAGGATAAAATGGCAGCCTAAAGAATGAGAAAAGATCTTCACCAACCCCACAACCCCATAATAGAGGACTGATCTCCAAAATATACAAAGACCTCAAGAAACTAGACATCAAAATACCAAATAATCCAATTTAAAAAATGTGGTGCAGATCTAAACAGAGAATTGTCAACAGAAGAATCTCAAATGGCTGAAAGGCACTTAAGGAAATATTCAGGGGGCTGGAGAGATGGCTCAGAGGTTAAGAGCATTGCCTTCTCTTCCAAAGGTCCTGAGTTCAATTCCCAGCAACCACATGGTAGCTCACAACCATCTGTAGTGAGATCTGGTGCCCTCTTCTGGCCTGCAGGCATACACACAGACAGAATATTGTATAATAAATAAATAAATAAATAAATAAATAAATAAATCTTTTTTAAAAGAAATATTCAATGTTCTTAGTTATCAGGAAATGCAAATCAAAACAACTCTGAGATACCATCTTACACCTGTCAGAATGACTAACATTAATGACAGCTTATCCTGGAGAGGTTATAGAGTAAGGGGAACACTCCTCCATTGCTGGTGGGAGTGCAAACTTGTACAGCTGCTTTGGAAGTTAGTATGGAAGTTTCTCAGAAAAGTAGCAATCAGTCTACCTCAAGACCCAGCAATAGCACTTTTGGGTATATACCCCCAGGATGCACACTCACACCACAAGAACATTTATTTAACTATGTTTATAGCAGCATCATTTGTAGTAGCTGGAACCTGAAAACAACCTGGATGCTCTTCAACCAAAGAATGGATAAAGAGATGTGGAACATTTATACAATGGAGCGGTAAAAAACAATGACATCTTGAAATTACAGGCTAATGGACAGAACTAGAAAAAAAATCCTGAATGAGGTAACCCAGACCCAGAAAGATAAATATAGTATGTCCTCACTCATCAGTAGATATAAAACATAAAGCGAAGGAAAACCAGCCTACAGTCCACAACCCCAGAGAAGCCAGAACCCTCATGCAGAAACAAATGGAAGGAGATGTAGAGATCCATGTAGTAGGAGATGGCTTGTTTGTTCTCAGCCACCCAGACCTGAAATAATTACACAGAAACTATATTAATTACAACATTGTTTGGCCAATAGCTTAGGCTTCTTATGAACTAACTCTTACATCTTAGATTAACCCATTTCTATTATTCTGTGAATCATCTTGAGATTCTAGCCTACTTAAGGTTTTGGCTTCTGGCTTGTGACTTTCTCTTCAGTAGCTACATGGCATCTCTCTGACTCTGCCTTCTTTTCTCCTCTATCTCTGCTTGAAATTCCTGCCTTGCTCTATTCTGCAGTGCCATAGGCCCAAAGCAGCTTCTTCATTAACCAATGATATACAGAAGGGAATCCCTCACATCACCTCCCATTTTCTGTCTGAATAAAAAGAAAAATTTTTAACTTTAACATAGCAAGATTACATACAACAAAGCAGTTATCAAAAAGCAGTTATCAAGCAAGAATTATAGTAATAATATCTAGTCCATTTACATTTGACAAATTAAGGGAAATACTCTATCATCTATCCTATTTTTGTGAGTCTAAAGTTTTATATCTAATTTATTGTTTATAACTATCTTTCTTTAACTCCATCAAAGACTCCAGAAGTATATAATATTACCTAAGTAAACAGAAAGTGCATTGTAACCTACTTCCAAAACTCTAGAATTGACAGACATCCTGCTGCCTAGGCAGTCACCCAGAGTTCATTGCAGCATCAATCTTCAGCCTACAGGCCCATTGTATCTGGCAGGCTTTTCCATGAAATAAGAAATTTAAAGATCTCTTATGCCTTGTACTGGCAACGTTTATCAGTTGCTTTCTTCTGTGTCCTGGAAAATGTCTGGAAGTTATTTCATGAAGCAGAAATCCTGAAGGACTGTCTCACCTTTAGGCAAGTTCAGCAGTCATTTCTCTGTGGCTTCTACATTAACCTGTTTCTTAATTATACATTACATTTTTAAATGAACTGCACAAGCACAATACAGAAATACATATGCACAGTATAACAAAATCAGCCTTAAATTTGTATCAGTAGGCCAAGATCCACACCAATACAAAGTATTCATCTCTATGTCATATTCCCCTTTAATTGTAAATAAACATTCATAAATAATATTTGGGAATTTGGGCATAGTTTTCTCCAAACTGCTTTTTGCTTTTTATTGGGCAAAGTATTTCGGGGGTTTATGATCTTGGTCCATCAAAACACATTAGATTAGTCTGGAAGGAATCCACAGGATCTCATCCTCTGTGGAAACAAAAGCAGAACCTCTTTTCCAAAGCTAGATATCCTTAGACCCAAATTTTGAAGTTAATCTACCTTTAAAACATATATGTTGGTTTAACTTAGCAGCCTGTACAATGTCTCTCTGTACTTAGCTCATTCATAGTCAAAAAATTTAAGGCAAACAGTAATATGCATAATCTAGACTCTCTGTGTATTTTTCATCTTTAGATGGCTTATTTTTCTTTACTCCTTTAATCTGTGGCTGTCAGTCTGGATGCTGTCTCTTTAAAGACTCTGTTTTATTTTTTAAACCATTTATTATTTTTATAACTGTCCATATTCTTTATCTCTCTCTCTCAGGCCTATATACATTTTTTAAACATACTGTTACCTGTTCAGGGATTTATTTTTTGTCTGAATCTGTCTTTATTGTATATCTGTAATCATTTTGTGACCAGGAACACCTTTTTTTATGGTAAGTGGGCATGGCTAAGACCAACTCTGTGCCGCCCAGTTCAACATGGAGGAACCTCCATGTTCAGAGGCATGTTCACTGCCTCTGAGAGCCATGCACACCACCCCAGCTCCAGGGTCATAGTGGGTCTATGTCACCATGAAGCAATTTGTAACATACTGCTCACAGCCCCCATTTAAGTGTTCAACCTCCTGAAAGAGCCAGAGCCCTCCCTTAAAGAAGCCACGAAGCCTTTTCAGTCGCTGGGCTGAGCTCCAGAAGTGCAATGAAAGAGAGGGAGGAGAGATAATATGAACAAGGGGGTCAAGACCATGATGGGGACACCCACAGAATCAGGTGACCTGAGCTAGTGGGAGCTCACTGACTCTGGACTAACAACTGGGGAACCTGCATAGGTCCAAACTAGGCCTCCTGAATGCAGGCGACAATGGTGTGGCTTGGGCAGTATGTGGGGCCACTGGGAGTGGGACCAGGATCTAATCCTGATGCATGAACTGACTTTGTGGAGCCCATTGTCTATGGAGACACTTGCTTAGCCTAGGCCCACTGTGGGTGGGGAGAGGGCCTTGGTCCTGCCTTTAGGAGGTGATGGGACAGATTTAGCTGACTTCCCAGGGGAGGCCTTACCCTCTCTAAGGAGTGGATGAAGAGTAGGGTGGGGGGAAGGTGGGGGAAGCGGGAAGAGAGGAGGGAGAGGGAACAGGAACTGGTATGTAAATAAATAAATAAATAGATGGTGGGTGGGTGGTGGGTACATGCATGTGTGCACACACACGTGTAAATGTGATTAACTCAGGGCCTCATGAATACTAAGCACATGCCCCACCACTGAGCTCAAAAACATCTCAAGATTTATTTATTTATTATTTGGTTTTTTTGAGACAGGGTTTCCTCTGGCCGTCTTTGGAACTCATTCTGTAGACCAGTCTGATCTCAAACTCAGAGATCCGCCTGCCTCTGCCTCCAGAGTGCTGAGACTAAAGGCCTGCGCCATCACTACCCAGCAATAATTTTTTAAAAATTGTTCAGGGTATTTCACTTGGGCAAAAGTTGAAACTCCTACTGGGTTAAAGTCACCTTTCATTGTGCTCAGCAGTGGGGGCTTTAAAGGATGATCATAGTGTTAATGTGTGACTGGGGAGATGGCTCAGCTGGCAAAATGCTCGCTATGCAAGAATGGAGAACCTGAGTCTGATTCCAGAACCCACATAAAAAACTGGGCATGGTGAAGATTACTTGTAATGCCAGCACTTGAGGAGCCAGGTGGATCGCTGAGGCCAGACAGCTGTCTAGCTCCTTCAGCAGTCCCAGGCTCATGAAAGATCCTGTCTCAAAACAAATGTGAATGGCTATTGAAGAAAGACACCCAAGATTGACCTCTGGTCTCTACATGTGTGTGTGTGCGCGCACACACACACACACACACACACACACACACACTGATTCACATGTACACCCTCCACACACAGATGTTAATGTGATACAAATTTTTACACACGGTCATAAACATCAGGACTGCTAACACATACATGTCCATAATCCTAGCCGTTTGGAAGCCAAGACAGGAGACATCATGAAGCTAGTTTGCCCTAAAACTGCAAAGGTAGTGGAAACACTTTATTTTTTTTAAGAATTATTTATTAACTATATATACAGTATTCTTCCTGCATGCATCCCTGCAGGCCAGAAGATCTCATTATAGATGGTTGTGAGCCACCATGTGGCCGCTGGGAACCAAACCCAGAACCTCTGTAAGAGCAGGCAGTGCTCTCAACCTCTGAGCCATCTCTCTGGGCAAATATTAGAAGTTGCTTTTTCCCGTTATAAGTAGATTCACAAATATAACTGCCATTAGAGATTAGATTGGATTTAGAAAAATGATAGTTCAAATTTTATCCCATTGGGTTTTATGTGACAAGGCTGGAAATGTGGTTCAAATCAGAGAGTGCTTGCCCAGCTTGTATGAGCACTATGTAAGCCGGACCTACGGTACACACCTGTGAACCTAGCACTTAGGAGGTGGAGACAGAAGAATCCAAACTTCAAGGTCATCCTTGGCTATACAGCAAGTTTGAAGCCAGCCTAGGGTACATGAACCCACATGCCAAAAATCACAACCAGTGTGAGAAATATTTTACACATGCTATTCTTTTTTATAAAAGAAAACAAATTATCTTTTTAAAAATTATACATACCAAAAGAAGTTCCCTTTTCCCTCCCCTCCTCCCATTCCCTCACACACCCTCCCACCCCACCCCCATCCACTCCTCAGAGAGGGTAAGGCACATTGCCTTGTGGAAGATCCAAGGCCCTCCCTACTATATCTAGGCTGAGCAAGGTATCCATCCAAAGAGAATAGGTTCCCAAAAAGCCAGTACAGGCAGTAGGGAGAAATCCTGGTGCCACTGCCACTGCCCCTCAGTCTGCCCCAGCCATGCAACGGTCAATGTCAACCACATTCAGTGGGACTAGTTTAGTCCTATGCTTCCTTCCCAGTCTGGCTGGAGTTGGTGAGCTCAGGTAGACTGTTTCAGTGGGTGTACCCATCATGGTCTCCAGCAAAGTCCAGTTGAAGATCAAGACACATGCTATTCTTATCTATTACAAAAAGAAGATTTTTTCTCTCCCTTTTTTTGTGTTCAGATGAAATCATAATTGTAACTCAGTATCTAAAACAACTCAGTGCAGAACCACACACTGTGCAGAACCTGCACACTGGTGCAAGGCTTAGAACCCTGCTAGCTCTCCCTCCCTCAGTCCTTCAGACAGACATGTACTAAGGCACCTCTCCAGAACCCTGGATTCCAAGAAGCTAGACAGCGAGATATCTTCTTGTAAACCTTGTTAGCAGGACAGGATGAGTCAAGATCTGTTATCGACTGTGCATAATGAAGGTCTGAGCTGGGCATAGAAGGCAAAGGAGGTTATTGAACTCCTAGTAGAAAGACTAACACCATGGAGGAGGAGAGCTCTAGATAGAGATTATGGGGGTAAGAAATATTCAAACCAAAAATCATATTTGGAGGAAAACGTAGAGCTGAGAGTTCATATTTTGTGAAAGAAAATAAGCATGAAGCCCATGCGGATCAATCACATGTGTGTATCCTCTGCATTCACTAGGTGCAAGAGAGCTAGAAAGCTACTGGGTTACATGTCAAGAAAGGAAAGAAAGGCTTAGAAAAGCATGTGCCTGTGTCCCAGACTTCTAGAGAGCCTGGTGTAGCAAGATGCTCTGGGAGCAGGGGCAAATCAGGCTGGGAATGGAATTATCTGTATGTTGTTGTTGTTGTTTTTAAATCACAGTACACAATAAATGCTATCAAGTTTCTTTAGGTAATACTACATATTCCCAGCTGAGGGGACCACAAAGCTCCTCACCCACCACTACCTTTTGACATTTCTCAAAATTAACAATGGCGCACACCTCTAATCCTAGCACTCAGGAGGCAGAGGCAGGCAGATCTCTGTGAGTTTGGGGCCAGTCTGGTCTACAGAGCAAATTCCAGGGTGGCTCTCAAACATTCTTTTTCCATATTAATGACTCTTAGACATCTTGTATTTGTCAGTTTATATAATTAACAGAAAATTTGGGATTTTTTTTAGTTCTCTTTTGACAGCTGTAACTTTAAGGTCCAAAAATGCAAAGAAGGAACTGGAAGAGTTGTGATGTGGCGTATGGGCATTACAAACAGCTACACAATGGAGTCAACCTTTGGCGGGTCCACCCTAGGTAAGAGGCAAGCCTGGCACAGGAAGCCTGGCACAGAATCTGGGAGATAAAAGGCTTGGGGAAGTCAGAGAAATAACAGATGTGCAGGATTTTCTTGCTAGCCTCAGGTACGGACATGGAATCCGCGCATCACTGGACGCCAAATCACACTCTCCTCAGAACCTGCACTCAGGAACTCAGCTTTGACTTCCGGCTACATTTATTAAGTTCTGTGGTCCTGGGTTTATCTTCTTTGAAGCTCACATTCCCTCTAAGCTACAGAAATAGCACCTGAATTATGAGTACTGCTTTAGATGTAGTACCTGACACAAAGTAAAACCAAAATAACTTTAAAAGAACTTGATAATCCATTACAACAGGAAACTTTTTCATTGTCAAAGATTCTTCTGAACCAGAATAAATCTAGGAGAGCCATCCTGCTCAGAAACATACTATTCTAGAACAAGAAGGGGTATTTTAAATCTGCTTTATTTTTATTCATGTGCATTGTGTGTGTGTACCATGTGTGTCTGTGTGTATACCAAGTGTCTCTCTCTTTCTCTCTCTCTCTCTGTTTCTGTGTGTGTGTGTAGCATGTGTAGTGTGTGTGTGTGTGTGTGTATCACATGTGTGCATTTGCTTGCAGGGGTTAGAAGAGAGTGTTGGATCCCCTGGAGCTGAAGTTACAGCAGGTGTGAGTGTTCCAGTGTGGGTTCTGGGAACCACACGTGGGTGCTGTGGAAGCACTAGGGTGCTGGGAACCACGTGTGGTGCTGTGGAAGCACTAGGGTGCTGGGAACCACGTGTGGTGCTGTGGAAGCACTAGGGTGCTGGGAACCACGTGTGGTGCTGTGGAAGCACTAGGGTGCTGGAAACCATGCGTAAGTGTGTGGAAGCACTAAGGTGCTGGGAACCACGCGTGGGTGCTGTGGAAGCTCTATTAATGCTGAGCTGTCCCTCCAGCCCTATGAGGAACGGTACTCTAAAATTGACTCACAAATTAGATTTGCATTTAACACATAAGATTTAGAAAGCTGGAAAGATGCCTCGGCTGTAAAGAGCACATACAACTTACTCTTGGAGAGAATGCACATGCTCACAACCATCTGTACCTCTAGTTCCATCCTGGGTTTCTGGCACCCTCTTCTGACTTCTGAAGTCACCAAGCACACACATGATGCAGATATACATGCAGAAAAAACATAAATATTCATAAAATAAGCATAAATATACAAATCTTAAAAATAAACTAAAAAATTTAGGGCTATGTACACAGATTTTAAATTTTTTACTTTTGTATTTAAGTGCATGAGTCTTTTGTCTGAATGAATGTATGTGCACCACATGCATGCCTGTCTGCTGAATTCAGAAGAGAGCTTTGGATACACTGGAACTGTAGCTATGGATGGTTATGAGCCACCGTGTGGGTGTAGGGACCCTAACCTGGATGCCACGCAAGAGCAGCAAATGTTATTAACTGCAGGTCACCTCTATATCCCCAGTTTTTAAAAATCTCACAAAAATTATGTTTTTTTCCCAGGCAGTAAAAGAGACACTCATTTTACCATTGAGGACCTGAAGTCCCTAGGTTATCATGTCTGTGACACTATTCTGGATTTCTGTGATCCTGACCAGACCAAGGTAAAAACAGAGTTTCAAACAACGTACTATCAGTTCTCTGCTGGGCTTCACGTGGGTCCAGGTTCGGCTCAGGGGACCTTCGTCGCCCTCTTAATATGCTCTATAATTTATTTTTATTTTATTTTATGTACATTGGTGTGAGGGTGTCAGATCCCCTGGAACTGGAGTTACAGACAGTTGTGAACTGCCATGTGGTTGTTGGGAATTGAACCGGTGTTCTCGAGAAGAGCAGCCAGTGTTCCTAACCACTCAACCATCTCTCCAGCCCTTCTTTTTTTCTTCCTGAGACAGGGTTTCTCTGTAACTTTAGAGCCTGTACTCTTGTAACCCAGGCTGCCTCAAACTCACAAAGATCCGCCTGCCTCTGCCTCCTGAGTGCTGGGGATTAAAGGCGTGAGCCACCATTGCCTAGCTCTTCAACCCTTCTTAATATTTTTTTTTACCTGATGTTTTTATTACCAGAGAAAATAGAACCCACACCCTGTAATCTGTCAACAAATGGTGACACTTCACAGTCTACCTAGAAGGAAGAAGCTATCCTTTGGTCCCCTCCCTAAATGACAGGTTTACTATAGCAGCACGTTGTCTTCTATTTCAGAACAATGGAATACACAGCATGCTTATTAATCCTGCCCTGTGCACTAGGGGATGCCCCTGTGTAGCCTGCCAGAGGAAGACTAGGCCTCAGTTGTTGCTTTTTCCTGTGTCATCAGGTGTTTCATCTTTTTATCCTCCCCCACCACCACCACCGCAAGTGTGCCCGAGCTTGCCTCTGTCCAAAAGCTGACGGATTCTTTGGCCTTGTTCTTCTGCTGCCTGTTTTTGATTCACTCACTCAGCTTGAGAGGAGCATATACCCATAGTCCCTAGCACATCTCTCATATCCTTGTTTAAGTGTTGGCTTGATAAGCACTACCTTGGATGCAATGCTTGGTAAAGAATTAAGGCCTGTTTAATTGGTGCTTACCTTTCCCCCAGTGGCGCCGGAGTACAAGGCCTTCTCACTCACATGAGCCAAGCACTCTACTACTGACCTACAACTTTATCCAAACCATCCTTGCCTTAGGCCAAAGTTAGAACAATGCCATTGTAACTACTCCTGCCTTGTAACTCAGCAAAACAGGTGAAACAATTGCAGAAGTGGACTATAACCAGGGAAGTGGGTAAGGCAGTGCTCGCTGATCCTCCGCTTTAAACAAGTCTATTTGTATAGCCCAGGTCTTATACCCATTACTATGTCCTTAGTAGAAGGAATTACAGTTTGCCCTATCAGTAAATCGCCTTTCAGCAACCCTCCAAGCCACTCGTGACTAGCGTGTAAAATGTCTTCCTCTGCTGCAGTATACTCAGTGTCTACAAGAGCTTCAGGAGCTCCTACAGCAGGAAATCCACAAAAAGTTCAATAACTCTGGACAAGAGATGGACTTAGAAGGAAGCTGGAGTGACTTTCCTTTGTCCGACATTGAATCCAGGTAACAAATTTCATTTCTAAGGAAATCTGGGATTGGCGATACATCCTTGATCCCAGTACTTGGGAGACAGAAGCAGGGGGATTGGGAATTTAAGGAAGGCCTGGATTACATTTACACCACACCCTGTCCTCTTATTTCTTTATCTATCTATCTATCTATCTATCTATCTATCTATCTATCTATCTATCTATCATCTTTTTATTCTGAGACAAGTTTTCTCTGTATTGCTGTGGGTGACCTGAATCTCACAGAGATCTGCCTGCCTCTGCTAGATTAAAAGCATGTCCATGCAGATTAAAACATGTCCATGTCCTGAGACCTTGTATGGTAGCACATGCCTTCAACTTCAGAATTCTGGAGGGAGGTGTAAGCAGATCTCTGTAGTAAGTTCCAGGAAAGCCAGGGCTATATGGAGAGACCTTATGTCTATTACTACAACACAACATGTGACCAGCACAACTTAGAAAAGGAAGTTCTTAATGGTTTCAGAGGAATGGAGTCCATGATGACAGAGCAAAAGTCCATGGCAGAAACAGCTGAGAGTTCACATCTTTTTGTTTTGGTTTCATCTTGTTTTGAGACAGGGTGTCACTAATTTAACTGACTGTCCTGGAACTCACTCTGTGGACCAGGCTGGCCTTGAACTTACAGAGCTTCACCTGCCTCTGCCTCCAAATACTGGAATTAAAGATGTGCGCCACCACATTTGACTTGTGTGTTCATATCTTGTGCTGAAAGTAGGAGGCATAGAGAGACACCGTGAATATATTGCTCCAGTCTTTTAAAACCTCAAGCTCTCCCCCAATGACACATCTGCTCCCAATCTTTCCCAAACAGTTCCACTAACTGGGGAACATATGAGCCTATGAGGGTCATTCTCATTCAAACCACTACACCCTGTCTCAAAAGCATAAAGCAAAATGCTATTGTAATAAAATATATTAAAGGTGATCATAATTTAGAACAAAATGTTAGTAGTAATAGAAGAAAGTGTCAAACTGATTGGATTCTAGATTGTTTTTCAGTCTTACAAAAGAGGCTGACTAGCAAACAGAAGTGAGGAAGGTGGAGCTTCCCAAGCCCAATTCAGCCTCTGGTCATTTCTTTTCGGATACTTAGATCCTGTTGTGGTCAAACAGGTGGTAAGCCACTGGCCTTGCAGTATTTCTCAAGCTTCTCAGATTCCAGCTGGATCCACTCCTGCTTCCTAAAATCAGACAGGTGATCCACAAAAGAACTGTCAGGGACCAGAACAATGGAGAAGACGAGGAAGGGAAACAGTCTTCCCGTTCCACCACAGGGCTCTTGTAACGCTGAGATTCTGGGTTCTTTTCATAGAGTTGCCTTGTCCAAGAGATCTGTACTCACCTAAGGCAGTAAGAACACAAACCTGATATCCTAGCCACAACTACAATGAGGCCTGGATTCTGAGTGTATTTTTGTTTACTAAATCTTTTAATATTTTATTCAATTATTAAAGATATATTTTATTTTATATGTATAAATTTATTGCCTGCGTGTATAGATGTGTATCACATGTGTGCCTGGTATCCATAGAGATCAAAAGAGGGCATCAGATCCCCTAGACCTGTATTTAGAGAAAGTTGGGGCCTTCATGTTGGTGCTGGGAACTGAACGGGGGTCTTCCAGAGCAGCCAGTACTCTTAATCTTTGAGCCATATCTCTTGTAGAGCATAGAAAGTATTTCATTCAAATACCAACACCATTCTCTCCCCTCAGGTTTCTTCCTTATTCCCACTAGCATATTTCTCTTCCAACTTCATCTTTTCTCTTTTTTGTAGGTGTACAGGCTCCAGCTTTCTGGCCAAGGTGCCTCAGATTGCCTAGTCATTCTTCAAAGGTTCCAAGGCTGGGCTTGTAGTCTTCCATCTTTGAAGACAGTTGGAAGGGTGTGGCTCTTCCACCCACTTTAAGTAGCACTTTGAGTTCTGGGCCACTAAGCAATTCTACTGGCCCAGTCTGACAAATGTTCCTACAGAGAACTTGAACCACAGCATCAGACAAGCAGGGTGCCCTCTCAACTCATTGCCCCTCCCATTCTCCCTCAGTCCCCTGCACTAGCCACTCTCTATTTGCAATCTAAAAACCAAAATGCCCTGTGCATGTCAGCTCACTGATACATAGAGCCCAGGAGAAGCAATGGCAAATACAGACAGAGCTGTACTCTATATAGCTGAATCATCAGGAACACTGATGCAGTTAGCCCAGAATTAGAAGAAATAGTTTCCAACTTCAGTACCACAAAGTCAGATGTCACAAGCCTCCTTGGGTTTCTACATCTGCATTCTCACAATTGCACATAAAGGCAGGCTAGGAATAGTAACGTTGCTCTGAGTGTACACACATGATTGATATTTTCTGGACATGCTGCATCTAATGCCTTGATATCCCGTTTGCTAAAGAAGTCTATTATTTCCAAAATCCAGCAGCCTCAAAGTCTCCTTCTAGACTGGAGAAACCTTTGAGAACAGCACATTAGAAATGAGATCACAAAAATGGGGCTTTGCTCTGCTCTGCAGTGCGAGATGTGACTCCTCATTGTGCACCATGGGGAGGCCACAAAAGGGAGTGGAGGCCTGGGCAGTGCTTTGAAATGCCTTTTTTCCCCTGTGAAATTTGAGTTTTGTGCCCAAGATACTTTTTTATTTTAAATCTGTTTATTATTGTTATTATTGGGGGTAGGGAAGAACTGACTTCAAGCCATCAAGCACTTTTATCTACTGAGCCATTCCACTGGCCCTGAAGACACTTTTTGGAGCCTCTATTATATGCAGTGTAATTCTCAGTTCTAGTCCACCATACCCCAGGAAGAGGTAAACTTCTGGGATACGATGAGAAATGCTTAACTATCTGAGTCCCTGTTCGTCTTAGTCCTCACAAGAAAGGACAGAAGAGAGTTTGTGGAGAAAAGATTTAGTCTATACATGCATGCAGAACTTGTGAATGAAGAATTGGCATCATTAAAAACAGTATTCCAAACTGCAAACTGGGCGGTGCTGGTGCCCACCTTTAATCCCAGCACTCAGGAGGCAGAGGCAGGCGGATCTCTGTGAGTTCGAGACCAGCCTGGTCTACAAGAGCTAGTTCCAGGACAGGCTCCAAAGCTACAGAGAAACCTTGTCTTGAAGAAATAAAACCAAAACTAGTGTTCCAGGGTTAGAGAGGCAGCTCATGCTTGGCTTTCATAAACCTCTGGGCTCAGGCTCTAGCATCCCTCAAACAACAAGCAAAACTGAAGATTTATTTATTTTAATTTTCTTTTACGTGGATGAATATTTTGCCTGTCTGCATATATGTGTGTCACATGCATGCAGGGACTGTGGGAGTCAAAAGAGGGCATCGGGTTCTCTGGAATTGTTGTGGTAGAGAGTTGCAAGCTGCCTGTGGGTTCTGGGAACTGAACTCAGGTGCTCTTGATCCCTGGTCTCTCTCGCCCCCTCAAATTTTTTTTTCTGTTTTTTTCTTCCTCTTCTTTATTTTGTGCATGTCTGTTTGTTGTTTGTTCTTTTGAGACAAGGTCTCACAATGTAAACTTGACTGGAATTCACTATGTAAACCAGGCTGGCCTCGACTTCAGAGAAATCCACTTGCCTCTGCCTCCTGAGTGCTGGGATTTAAAGATACATGTTACCACAATGCAGCTTGTTTTTCTTTATCAAAACAGTGTCCACTATAGCCAGGTTGGACTCAAACTCAGCAATCCTTCTTCAGTGCCCCAAGGGCACAGTTGTGCGTCGCTACACCTGGCTGACAGTCCTTGAAGTTACTTTGGTGTTGTCTAGCCTGCTGATCATTTGTCTCATTATTTATCTATTTATACATTTGGCACGTTTTCCCAGAGTAACTGGCAGAATCCTGGCTTCAGGGAATCAGTATCAGCTCAGAAGATGGCAATGCCCTCAGGGGATCCCTGTCTCTAGGACTCCACACTGTGTAGCTCAGGGCCCATTCTCCCTCTGCCAGGGTACTTTAGCCCATCTGGCCAGGGTTTGTTTTGCCACACTGACGGTGACTCCTTGGTTCAGAGCCTCTGCTTCCTCATCTGACAATTCTTTCTGTGTCTTTCTTATTTTTCCTAGCACAAGTGGCTCTGACAGCTCCCTCTCAGATGGCCTTCCTGTCCACCTACTGAGCATGGCAGATGAGGTGAGAGTGCACTGATTCTTGTACACACAAAACATTGAAACTTAAAGAAAGACAAAAAAAACCCTAAAAACACCATAATACTAGATAATTGGGAAAATGTTCCAACCGTCCTAGAGCCTACAGGAGTTATAGCCCCAGGATTTCAACTCGGGAAGGTAGCCTAGTGTGAAGAGATTCCTGGTTCCAGTCACAAGTGAGTCAAAAAGAAAACTGCAGTGGTGTCCTAGCTGGTCACCTACCCCAAATATCCACTGTGTGCTTTATATGCTTTTTGCGTAACTGCTGGAGCTTCTTTTTTTATTATTATTATAAAAAATTTCTACCTCCTCCCCTACTCCTGCTTCCCTCCCTTCCCTTCTCCCCACTCCCCCTCCCCCTCCTTCTCCAGGCCAAAGAGCAGTCAGGGTTCCCTACCCTATGGGAAGTCCAAGGTCATCCCCGTTCCCCCCAGGTTCAGGAAGGTGAGGATCCAAACAGACAAGGCTCCCACAAAGTCCGTCCATGCAGTAGAATCAAAGCCCAGCGCCATTGTCCTTGGCTTCTCAGTCAGCCTCCACTGTCAGCCACATTCAGAGAGTCCGGTTTGATCACATGCTCCATGAGTCCATGAGTCCCATTCCAACTGACCTTGGTGATCTCCCATTAGATCTGTCCCACCATCTCAGTGGATGAACGCACCCCTCGCGGTCCTGACTTCCTTGCTCATGTTCTCCCTCCTTCTGCTCCTCATTAGGACCTTGGGAGTTCAGTCCTGTGCTCCAATGTGGGTCTCTGTCTCTATCTCCATCTATCACCAGATAAAGGTTCTATGGTAATGTGTAAGATATTCATCAGTGTGGCTATAGGACAAGGCCAGTTCAGGCACCCTCTCCTCTGCTGCTCAAGGAACAAGTTGGGGGCATCTCCTTGGACACCTGGGAACCTCTCTAGAGTCAAGTCTCTTGCCAACCCTAAAATGGCTCCCTTAATTAAGATACATACTTCCCTGCTCCCACATCCACCCCTCCTTCATCCCAACCATCCCATTCCCTCAAGTTCTCCTCATGCT